ACCAGCGGCTGACTACAGGAAGCCCAAGGCAGAGTTGCTCTGCCCCGGGCTTCCTGGAATCAGCCGCTGATCAGTTTCAGCAGCAGCTGACTTGGGGACACCTGGGGTAGAGCAGCTGGGGTGCTGCCGGGTTGGTCCCTGCAGCGCCGAGGTGCGGCGCTGCGGGGACCTACCCGGCAGTGCCCCAGCTGCTCTGTCACAGGCGTCCAGATTCAGCTGCTGTTGAAACTGATCAGCGGCTGATTCCAGGAAGCCCAGGACAGAGAAACTCTGCCTCAGGCTTTCTGTAGTCAATCGCTGGTCAGTTTCAGTAGCGGCTGAATCTGGACGCCAGTTCCGACTTAAGTACAAATTCAACTTAAGAACAAACCTACAGTCCCTATCTTGTACGTAACCTGGGGACTGCCTGTAAAGCAATGGTGCTTGTTCCCACAACTGAAAGTGTTGTTCTTGACTCTCTGCAGTTAGCCTTATTATGCACAGATAGAATGATCACTTTTTCAACAAGAGATTATCATTTATTATTCCTGTCAATGTCCTAGTTCTGAATATTGCTCAAAATACATATATCTTGCATTATTTTTACTTTCACTGGCTTTCAAAACCAACAGATTTATATCTACTTTCTACATACATGATATATGCTTGAACTCAAAGAGGGCAATTATGCTCCTAACCAGAACCAATATTCAAAATCAATGCCCCTATCAGTTTTAACATTAAATCATCAATGTTTTAGTATTTTAATATTACCATAACCTTTTAATATAACCAAAAGTACACTGTGAAAATAAATTAGCGCTTGACATATGAAACTTCAAATTAATCAGATCATAAATACTGATTTGTTGCCATGTCCAAAAGCAATTACATTACCATTCTCCATTCCTAATACAAACTAAATACATATATTGTGCTTATATGATGCATAACCCATATGAAAAACCTGGTTTCCTACTAGAGAAGTATACCATACTGTGTGCCACACAGCATTCTTATGTTGTCATTTATCTATTACAGCACTTTTACTAATCTAGGTAGGACCTTTTTACCATTTTTTAAAATTAAAGAATGCTAACATAATGATTACTATTTATAATAGAGAAGGAAAGGAAGTTTGATAGAAAAATCATAATCAGGCACAAATTTAGTTAATTGGAAAAGTTTTCAAATCCTCACTTATGACTAAATGACTAGTATAAAAGGTCCCAGTCATTGTCGTTCTGAATGTATGGATTTGTTGTGGCATTTCTAACCCATCGTGGTAAGCACCATTTTTAAGGTGCTTAACACTGGTATTCAAGTACTTTTTAATTCTAGGATCTAGGTAGCAGATATTTAAAGATTATGGACTAATTTTTAGTTAAGAGATCTGCTTTCTGGTACAAGAATTAGGTGTTCCCCATAGGTATTTTGCATCCTCATCTTTTCCTCCCACCTTATTTTTCCTTTCATGAGAACTGCAAGATTCTTCCAACAATGAAAAAATATTTTTGTAAATGTACATCTCAAATCATTGTTTAAACATGGTTAGACTCTAGGATTCATCTTGATCTTTGGCAGCACGTAGTACTATAGTTTAGGGCCTTCTATTCTGAATGCTCTGCCTTATAGTAGGTGGGTTTTCTACCTTGGCCACACACACATTCTCCACCTCCAATAAATGTAATCTCTTAGTGCAGTGGATCCCAACCACTGGTCCATGGACCTGGCTGCTGGGTCATAGCAGCTGCTGAAGCTTAAGCCAGCTGTTCATGGTAACTGGCAGCAGTGGTGATTGATTTTGCCCAATGGCGGTGCTGAGTCTAAGGAGGCAGCAGGAAGAAGTGGAGCAGGAGATGCCTCCTTCTCCCTCCCACCCAGGTAAGATGGCAGCCCAGCCAAGGCTCCACACTCTGCCCCCTCCACCCATGGGAGCGAGACACACTTGGGGAGGGAGGGGTGCGAAAGAGGAGGGAGCGCACACTGCCAATGACTGCTCCCCCTGCCAATGCGGCAGTAACGGCTATGCTCCATAAAGGGGCAGCCTTGCTTTGGGCAGTGCAGGGGTGGGGGCAAAAGGGTGGTGGGTGAGGCTGTGGTGGGCTCATGGGGCAAGAGGGTGTTGGCATGGGCTGTAGGGGTGTCATGAAAAGGAGCTGCCATGGAGAGTCTGACTTACTTGAAGAACGAGGAACGGGTTAAGCGGAGAAGCTAAACGAATTCTTTGCTTCAGTCTTCATAGCTGAGGATATTGGGGAGATTCCCAAACCTGAGCAATTCTTTTAAGGTGACAAATCTGAGGAATTGTCCCAGATGGAGGTGCTATTAGAAGAGGTTTTGGAATAAACTGATTAACTTAACAGTGACAAGTCACCGGGACTGGATGGCATTCACCCAAGAGTTCTGAAAGAACTCAAATGGGAAATTGCAGAACTATTAACTGTGGTGTGTAATCTATCCTTTAAATCAGCTTCCGTACCTAATGATTGGAAGACAACTAACATGACACCAATATTTTAAAAGGGCTCTACAGGTGATCCTGGCAATTACAGATCAGTAAGTCTAATGTCAGTCCCAGACAAATTAGTTGAAACTATAGTAAAGAATAAAATTATCAGACACATGGATGAATATAATTTGTTGGGGGAAAGTCAACATGGTTTCTATAAAGGGAAATCATGCCTTACTAATCTGCTAGAGTTCTCTGAGGGGGTCAACAAATATGTGGACAAAGGGGAACCAGTGGATATAGTATACTTTGATTTCCAGAAAGCCTTTAACAAAGTCCCTCACCAAAGGATCTTACGTAAAGTACGTTATCACGGGATAAGAGGGAAGGTCCTTTTGTGGACTGATAACTGGTTAAAAGACAAGAAACAAAGGGTAGGAATGGTAAGTTTTCCGAGTGGAGAGAGGTAACTAGTGGAGTCCCCCAAGGGTCTATCCTGGGACCCATTCTATTCAACTTATTTATAAATGATCTAGAGAAAGGGATGAACAGTGAGGTGGCAAAATTTGCAGATGATACCAAATTGCTCAAGATAGCTAAGACCAAAGCAGACTGAAGAGCTTCAAAATGATTCCACCATACTAAGTGATTGGGCAACAAAATGGCAAATGAAATGTAATGCTGATAAATGCAAAGTAATGCATACTGGAAAACATAATCCCAACTATAGATACAATATGAGGAGGACTAATTTGGCTACAACTACTCAAGTGAGAGATCTTGGAGTCACTGTGGATGGGTCTCTGAAAACATCCACTCAGTGTGCAGCGGCAGTCAGAAAAGCAAATAGACTGTTAAGAGTAATTAAAAAAAGGGATAGACAATAAGACAGAAAATATCTTATTGCTTCTATATAAAACCATGGTATGCCCACATCTTGAATACTGTGTGAAGATGTGGTCGCCTCATCTCAAAAAAGACATATTGACTTTGGAAAAGGTTCAGAAAAGGGCAACAAAAATGATTAGGGGTTTGGAACAGGTCCCATATGGAGAGAGATTAAAAAGACTTGGACTTTTCAGCTTACAAAAGGGGAGACTAAGGGGAGGAGGGAATACGATAGAGGTCTATAAAATCATGACTAGTATGGAAAAAGTGAATAAGGAAAAGTTATTTACTTATTCCCATAATACAAAAATTAGGGGTCACCAAATGAAATTAATAGGCAGCAAGTTTAAAAACAAACAAAAGGAAGTTCTTCTTTACTCAGTGCACAGTCAACCTGTGGAATTCCTTTCCAGAGGATGCGGTGAAGGCTAGAACTTTAAAAGGGTTCAAAAAAGAGCTAGAGAGATTCATGGAGGTTAGGTCCATCAATGGCTATTAGCCAGGACCGGTAGGAATGGTATCCCTAGCCTCTGTTTCTCTGGAAGTGGGTGACAGGAGAAGGATCATGTGAGGATTACCTGTTGTGATCCCTCCCTCCCTCTGGAGTATCTGATATTGGCCACTGTCGGCCGACAGGATTCTGGGCTAGATGGACCTTTGGTCTGACCCAGTATGGCCGTTCTTATGTTCTTAAGAAACTGGAGATGCACCCAAGGGAGGGTATTAGGGCATTTATCCAATGAAATGCAGATAGGAATTTCAAACTGAGATAGGATTTTTTTCTCTCTCTTCTTTTGTTTGGAGTGAGAGCAGTTTCTCCCAGGTATGAGATCGGCTCTCCCAAGAACAGACCTCTTGAAATGTGTTGGCATGGAAAAGTTTAGATAGCCCATCACATTTTATTGTTTTCTTTGTTTGGGGGCTTGGAAATCATGTCTGAGCTGGTTAATTGTTTTTCTCTTTGTAATTAAGGATTACCACTGAGGAGTTTCCCCTGAGTCTATTTCACTCCATGGCTTTTTAACAGCCAGTCACTTACTATGCTTGTAACAACAGTTTTGTTTTTGATAATAAAAGTGTTTTCCTGTTTTGCTTTGACTGGCAGGTAGCTACTGGTTGATTCTTGTGTCCTTATGCCTACGTGGCTGATTATCCAGGAGGAGAAGTGCCCATTGTTCTGTGCGGATTCCCTCTGTTTGTTTTCACCAACTCCAAGCAAAATGAAAGTTGGAGTAAGGGGGAAGAGCTTTGCCTTAGGGAGAGGATTCCCAAGTGATCTCTTCCTTGGAAAAAGTTTTTTTTTAAATATACTTTTTGTTACTCCCTTGGGTGGTGGCAGTGTTTCCTTTTGGGTTTCAGAGAAACTGGGACCAGACAAGTTTGTCTCTGGGGAGTTAAAGAGGCAGGTTCTTACAGAGTTTATTGTTAACTGCCCCACCCCTCATCTCTACACTTGTTGTGTCAGGTTGGGGAATTGAGCTCTCACAAGGGGTCAGAGTTTAAAGTGTCAAAAGGTGTTAGGCACTGGAGAGCAAGAGGCTGAGCTGGGCCTAGGTGGACCGGCAACATATTTTTTGCATGTTCATTATTTGCATATATTTCATGTAAATAATGAAGCTGCAAACATGCAAATAAAATGTTTCCAGTCCACCAAAAGTTTGTGAATGGGTTTGCTGGTCCACGGTACGTAAAAGGTTGGGAACCACTGTCTTAATGGGTCACCCACCATAAAGAAACTGTCTGTAAGAGACCAAAGAGTCTTAAAAATTAGAACCACAATCTTGAATTGAACCTGAAGTTAAGTAGGGAGCAAATGGGACAATGGCATTTGGTTTCACTGGTCTTCCTCTACAGGAGGCAGGCAGCTGTATATTGTATGAATCAAAACTTTAAAGTGACCTTCTTCTTTAGCCCAAAGTGAAGCAAGTCAGAGTACTCAAATTGGGAGATGAAAAAGTGAAGCACAACTTACTGGTCTCCACCTCAGAGCAATGGGCACAACCTATTGCCCAGCGGAAGAGGGAAGCCATTTTTTTTTTACTGTTGCTGTGCGTGTGTGTGTCTGGGAGCACTGATCAATCCACCACAGCATTATTTTGATAACTGGTGTGCAAAACCTCAATAGCGGATGGGGAAAGAGATCTCACATAGAGAAAAACACCGAAAAGAAGAGACAGATTGAGCTTTGAGAGAACTCTTGGAAAAGTGAAGCAGTTCCAATTCACAATTCTTTTTAGATATATTAGACAGGAATGACTTAGTCCTGCTTGGTACTTCATCATCTATTCCAGCTACCTTATATAGGCGAGGCCATTCCAAACAATGCTGTAAAATCAGCAGCTGCCCTGCCCTACCTTACCTGATGTTGGCTGAAATGCTTGTACAGTAAGTACTCTCAATTCTCCTGATCAGTATAAAGGTGCTTCATGCTGATTAAGTGCTACAGAGTATCAGTAACTTGAGTCCCTCAAAACAGAAGAGATTCTGATTCTTCATGAAATCAGCTGACACACATTAAAGGTTCTTTCCTCCTATTTAACAAGAAACCTCTCTCTACTATTTTCTTAAATTCTTGCTCAAATGCACACTAAATTTGGGGACAGTTTTTTAAAAACCACAATATTGCTGCTAGAGCAAATAACGTAAACACTACACAATAAAATTCTTATTAATAAGAAAAATAATCACACTGATTCTATTATTTACAAATTATTAACATTATAACTCCAAATAGGCCCTTTTGGGAATCATTTTTTGCACAAAACATGAATCCTATTAACTATAAGTGAATATAGAATCACAAAATACTAGAACTGGAATGGAACTTGAGAAGTCATTGAGTCGAGTCCCGTGTCCTTACAGCAGTACCAAGCACCGTCTAGACTATACCTGAAAGATGTCTGTCTAACCTGCTCTTAAATATCTCCAGAGATGAAGATTCCACAACCTCTTTAAGGCAATTTATTCTAGTGTTTAATCACCCTGACAGTTAGAAACTTTTTCCTAATGTCCAACCTGCTTCTTGTTCTATCCTCAGAGACCAAGATGAACAAGTTTTCTCCCTCCTCCTTATGACACCCTTTTAGATACCTGAAAACGGCTATCATGTCCCCCCTCAATCTTCTCTTTTCTAAACTAAACAAACCCAATTCTTTCAGCCTTCCTTCACAAGTCATGTTCTCTAGACCTTTCATCATTCTTGTTGCTCTTCTCTGGACCCTCACCAATTTCTCCACCGCTTTCTTGAAATGTGGTGACCAGAACACTTCTCATGTCTCGCTCACAACACTCCTGTTAATGCATCCCAGAATCATGTTTGCTTTTATTTATATATATATAAATTAATTTATTTTCCTGGTAGCACCATAATCTGAGCTCTTAGCACTAAATAACAAAGGTTTTGTAGAACTTTAAATATTTGTTTGAAGGTACTTGAATCTGAATCCTGGTATTGTCAGACAAAGTTCTCAGTTTACATTAACAGTTTGCTTACTCAAAGAAATATAGTACAAAATCTCAAGTAATTTAAGACATGTATAAACAATCTACAAATATGCACAAAATTAAAGCCACATTGACACATCACTTTCTAATAAAGATGGTCTTATTATGTGTTGGTAGTCATCCTAGTCTACAATTTTGCTTTACAAGAATAAGAAAATGTTTCTTTAAACAGTCTTTGAAGTAAAAGTAACTAACATTCCTTTATGACTGACAACCCTTTGTTGCACTCTATGGCTTTAAAGGTATAAAGCTAGCTATTACTCTTGAAATAAAAATAGAAACTGAGTAAGTACTATATGTTTTGTATCGTTAGTTCTGAAATCTATTTCCAAAAACTAAATATTCATACTGTACCTGAATTTCAGCTAGTGCCAAATTTAAGTCACAAAGCCAGTTCTTTTTAAACTGTCTTGCCTGAAATCTTCAACAAGAGAAAACTATTAATTATAGTTATCTATTAAGATTATAATACTTTGTATTATCATTAAAGAAAATAGCAGTGTTTTCAATCCTACATCATTACCTAAGTCCCCAGCATCCAAGCTTAAATACACCACTCAAGAGGGAAAAGCAATATGTATTTAAATAATATTAAGAATGTCATTTGTGCTTCAGTAGTGTACTATTCTAATGAATACTATACAAATAATTTTCAATATTTTACTAGACTACATTTACTATTTCTCAAATATTAATCTAGTGAGAAAATTATTTCCACAGAAAAAGGCACTAACTTGTAATAGAGAAGATTTATCTCAATGTGAGGATCAGTGAAATGGCAGTGACAATACGAAATGTGAGTCTCATATATCCCATTAAGTTCTATAACAATCTCAAATTACATCAGATTACATGAGAAAGTGTGATCTAGTGAACAGAGAAGCATGTTTCTAAGAGATTTTTTTCTGGCTCTGCGTCTGACATTGTGACACATTGCACGGCATAACTAATTGTACATCAACTTCCTGATAAGTAAAAATGATACAACCAACCCCATACATGTGTTGTAAGTAACGTAAAACACCATGTTCACTAGATGACTTGCTCAGGGTCACAGAAATTTGTGCATTCTATTCCCAGCTATGCTAATCAGATTTAATAATCATGAATGCTATGGAAAAGCTAATAAATAAATGAAGCAAAAATCCTGGTCTTCTAATTCTCAATACTTAGTGTTAGCATTCTCCATTAAATTGGAAACCCCATTACATTCAATTGGAAACTCCATTACATTATTGCTGAATAATTAAACTTCTAATTTTTGTAGAAAATGTATAAATATGCACCTTTTCACCATGCTTTCTAATTAGCAACAAGCCAATGTTCTTTACATAATTTTTTATTAAACAAAATCCAGAAGAAACCGTTAAATATATTTTGCACATTAACTGAAAATAATCTCCACAGCTAAATACACACCTTGATTTTATGTTCAAAATAACATTCATTTCTTGACTGGAAACTTGCAGTTGGTGAAGGAATTTAATAATACGGTTAAAATGTTCAAGCTCAAGAACCATCCCAGCATCAAAAACCTGTAGTATCAAAAGAAAATAATGCAGATGTACATACAAATTACAATTTCTAAAATCTTTCAAAAACCAAGTGGCAAACACAATGGAGGACATAATATATAACATGAGAAATATAAGTAGGAGAGATTTTTAAAAAATAAGAGAGAAAGAAAAACCTTTACAAAGGGCCTTGCTACAACATCAAAATAAAGATACTTGTTTCAATTCAATCTTTAAAATTTCATTGTCAGGATTTTAAAAATAAGCAAGAAGTTTTTGTGAAACTTCCACACATAAGGAGATAATGGGAAAAAAGTCATACCTTACAAAAGATATCTATTAATGTAGGCACAGCATCTCTTATATTCATGGCAGCTACATGCTCAAACACCTTCAGAAATATATCAACAGCTGGCTAAAAATATAAAATACAGTATTAAAAATATCTTAATAATTTATTCGTCTCCTATAGATATTTTAGAGTTTTCATACTAGTAGTTTATGTTGCCTTATGTAGAATTTTGTTTTTCAAACTTGGCCCATGTAAACAAAATAGATAATTATGGTCCCATAACTTTCAAGCTTTCAAATGTTTCATGATCACTTACCAGCATTTTAATCATTACAGCAACATTTAACAACAGAAATACTTCTTTCAACAAATAACACTTGAGCAAAGAAATGAGAAGATCATTCAGTACTTGTGAATCAAAATGCACACCAGGAGTAACTTCTCTGTAGTAACTGATAAATATCTGGACTGAAAAAAAAATCAAATGAAAGAGTCAATTCTGTTCTAAGATATCTGACATTCTTAGGTATTTAAACAACTTATTTCCTGAAACAAAAGTTATTTCTTAATAAAGGCACTATATTAAAATACAAAAGTGAGAACAAAATATTTTGTGATAAAATCTGATAGTTGCAGTAACAGAAGCAGATTGACATATATTCCTGAATTATCCATAATATAGATACTGTAAAAGGATAAGCAGAGCCCATACTATTCTGCCACACAGATGAGCTGATACCATGAACTCCAGATCCCTTTAGAGAAAGTACAGTTCAATCTCCATATCCATTTAGTAACTAGCAACTCTGCTGAGATGGAGAAAGATAGGATGCAAACTGTGATGGTGTTTGTTATGTCAACATCTGTCTACTGATTGGATCTATTTCACAGAGGCCACACAATTGTCAGACAGCAATCACTTTTTGTCAATCCCTAGGTCGGGTATTAATTGGATAGAATACTAGAGATGAAAAGATCCGTATCTATTATCAATCCTCAGAGGCACTCAACTTCCCTCATCATATCTGCATTGAATCACAGAAACTGGCAATGAAAAATATATTACTAGAAGATTTATTACTATTATATAGTAAATTTAGTCTAGCTTCACTGGAAATGCGGGGAATCTGACTAGAGCACTTTTTCCAGTCTGGTTTAAAATGTCCCAAACAAAATGGCATTCAGTGACACTTCCCAGTTTCAGTGCATTCAACCTGACATTAAGTTAAGTGTTTCTCCGCGAGAAAACAAACTTAAAGTCAGACTTCCATGTAAATACTTTGCATTTACTATTGAAAGATTGTTAAAAATGATACAGAACAATTGACAGTGCATATGGTGCCTCAAACTACATTTGGCATATATGGTTAGTCTTGCTGTTTCCCAGTATAGTCAATCTCCTCTTGTTTGCATGAGCCTTCTACATAGAAATAGGAAAGAGAAAAAAATTTAAAATGAGACAATGATTTATTCCACCAAAATTAGCAGCGACTTAGAAGCATTATATTCCCTGCATCTGCTTAAAAAAAAAACTAACTAGATTTTAAGTTGAATTTGAACCCATTATTTCCAGTTATAAAACTCCTGTTTCTTGTGTACCAATCTACTGTTGTAAGCCTGCAACTGAACAATGTGAGTAGATCCTTATGCAGGCAGAGAATTCCACTGATGACAACAGAGCTCTGTATGCACACATAGGTGTGTCAAATATGGATCTGATTGCAGGATCAGGACTTAAAATTGCTGTCACTCCTTGCCATTTGCACCCTTCAAATACCTATACAGTGTTATATTCTTCATACCTTTTCAGAAGGCACACCGTATATATTTAACTCTTTTAGAAATTCATTCATTCAATCATTTTTATCCCTATTTTTTAAACTCCCTGTAGTAATGCTATATCTGGAAATCAAATACTAAAACACCTTAATCATAACTGTATGGGCAGAGTTAAAGCTTTCTGGGTGTCTTAACTGCATTTTTTAAAATCTTAGCATATTTGAATTTCTTTTAAATACAATTGTAATTATGAATTTCCTAGATTTATCATGCTTGGCTTTGGAATGATTACAATATCTCCTTAATACTTTTTATCTTTGAGTACTGATACATATTCTCATTGAAACTTCATCTTAGTATAGTTAGTCTGGGAATATGTTTAGGACCACATATAGCCACTCTACAGCACAACTCCCAAATCCAAACAGGATTGCACAAAAAATAACAGCTCATGATTCTCATTAACTAGTATCTAACATTACTCATTGTTATTTTACCCTGACTAATCTCTCTGCTCATGACTTCTCTCATGTGCTCCCTTTAGAATTGCCATATTATACATTCGTTTTCTGTTATATCATACCTGCACGTTGTAGCAAACTTGGTTCATTGATATTTATATACGTCTTAAGTATGGCCATGCAAATCTACAAAAACATAAGCAGAATCCATTACAATACATCAAATTGTATTTCAAAATATTAGTAGTCTGAATGTGAATTTTATATTGCAAGTAAGCAAATATATGTAGATAGTATTATGAGCTTTCATGGGCACAACCAACTTCTTTAGACAAATGGAGCAAGAGGCACAGAGACACAAAATTTATTTGTCCCTCTCTGCCTCTTGCTCCATTCATCTGAAGTGGGTTGTACCCACAAAAGTTCACGATACTATCTATATTTTTTTGTCTGTCTCTAGGGGTGTGTCTAGACTACATGCCTCCTTCGACGGAGGCGTGTAGATTAGCCAGATCGGGGCAGCCATTTAAATTTAAATGAAGCCGCGATTAAAATAATCGCGGCTTCATTTAAATTTAAATGGCTGCCCCGATCTGCCGACAAACAGCTGATCGGCAGATCGGGGCAGCCATTTAAATTTAAATGAAGCCGCGATTAAAATAATCGCGGCTTCATTTAAATTTAAATGGCTGCCCCGATCTGCCGACAAACAGCTGATCGGCAGATCGGGGCAGCCATTTAAATTTAAATGAAGCCGCGATTAAAATAATCGCGGCTTCATTTAAATTTAAATGGCTGCCCCGATCTGGCTAATCTACACGCCTCCGTCGAAGGAGGCATGTAGTCTAGACACACCCTAAGGTGCTGCAGGATAACTCATTTTTAAAGTTTTGTATATGTGTATAAACAGACCCACATCGGATATCTGCATCAAGCAGGACAAAAGATTGGAAATAAAGTATTAGCCAGAGTTCACTAAAAGGTGAAAGCAGGCATTCAGGAAAGGGAACAGACAAGGGTAAAAAAACAAAAGTGTGGAATCAAAATATGTACAGAGACCCCCCCAAGTCATAAGGATGTCCAGAAAATAAAACAGAGTAATGTACATATTACTTTGTATTCCCATAAAGCAACACAAGGCCAGGCATGTAAGAGAACTTAAGAAAATTGACCCAAAGTTATTTCATTACAGACAAACGCTAGTGATAAACATCCTTTCAAATTAAATCATTTTATAAGATTAAAATTAGGTGTTAAAATATTTTATTAAAAATTTCCTTTGAAGATGAAATGCTTTAAAACATTGAAGAATTTAGCTTTGCAATTGAACTATTTCAGCAAATAGCCAGACTGAAAATATATAGTATTCTATCAAATATAGAAACTAAAGTGATTTTTTTTTTTTTTTGGCTGTATCCTTCATTTACTCGAGTGTAACTTTTAGGAACTATAAGTAACGAAAAATAGTTTAAGTTTGAAGTTGATCTGTCTCTTCCACTAACTTATCCAGTGTGACACAGTAAGCGAGTTCATACTAGAACGTGAAGTCTGACTTACCTTAAAAAAAATTAGTATTTGCAGATCAGCAAAGCTGATCATCAAAGAACCAGACAAACATAAGATTTTAAAGTTTCAGTATTCTGATTTATTATAAATAGAAAAGATGAAAAACATCAAAATAGTTTGTATTTAATTTTTTTAGTAGAAATCAGTATCGCCTATTGTTTAAATGAGGTATACAAACTTTGCTTTTGGAAAAAATTCATATGGGATGTCACTTGGGATAAGCCAATTTAAGCCAACCTAAAAACCCAGGTGGCTGAGGGCATTTTAAACAAATTTTAGCACCAGTGGAAAGTATGTACATTAATCTACTTTCTTTTGGAATCTATTTTCCTCCTCCTTTGGAATGACTCCTAAAAGTACCAGGAATGCATGTAGAGCCATCGTGATTGAAATGTAGCCGTGTTAGTCTGGTGTAGCTGAAACAAAATACAGGACTATGTAGCACTTTAAAGACTAACAAGATGGTTTATTAGATGATGAGCTTTCGTGGGCCAGACCCACTTCCTCAGATCAAATAGTGGAAGAAGATAGTCACAACCATATATACCAAAGGATACAATTAAAAAAAAGTGAACACATATGAAAAGGACAAATCACATTTCAGAACAGAAGAGGGATGGGGGGGGGGGGTGGAAGGTAAATGTCTGTGAGCTAATGGTATTAGAGGTGATAATTGGGGAAGCTATCTTTGTAATTGGTAAGGTAATTGGGGTCTTTTGTTCAGCCCCCCGCGGAGAGTGTCAAGCTATCATTGTTCCAAATATTAGTGAAAATCCAGTTGCAGAAAGGTTTAATTATTGGACAACTCTACATTAGATGCATAAGAGAGTCTAATTGTGAGCCTCATTTCCAGCTTGTATGAAACTTTCTTTGATTTAACAGTCTCAATGTAAAAGGGGTTTAAATGAACCTATGGACCATGTAAAAATGGGAAAGTCTAACTCTGGAGTTGATTGTAATAGATTTAGATGGGAGAGGATATATAAACTTAAATTTCTATGGGGAATTTAGTCCAAGCTGGCCTCTATGACAGTCTTATTAAATGATGGGGAAAGACAGTAGCTTTTGGCACCTGAAAATGAAATAAAATTTAAAGTTCTTTATTCTTGTATGAAAGTGTTCTAATTGAGTCATTAATTTGTAGAAAGCAGCCAGTTATAGAAAGAGCCACATCAGCTATAATTAAAAAAAGTTGACAAGATATACTTTTCCATGTATGAGTAATTTTGATTAGCTCAATATACAGTATTCCACAAGAAGTTTAATGACAACACTAGATTCTAGTCTAGGAGCTGCTTTAGCCATCAGCAATTAAAGTCAGTAACATTTAAAAATCAGAGTGCAACAATCTTTCAATCTGAAGTGGCACTGGAAATCATGCTGCTAATTAAAGGCTCCCATTGATTCCACATATAAGTTCCCTTATATACGTCTTAATTTTATGAAAAAGAAGCCAACATAATTGTTCTTCATATGGGAACAGCTGATTAGTTTGAGCAGAACTCCAGGGATCACCACTTATCACCATATATACAATAATCCACTGCATTAAACAAATCAGCAGCAATATATATATACTTTAATTTAAGGCACTTAATATTAGGAGGAGAATTGAAGGAAGACTGTGTTAGACTGAGGCTTTCGTAGTTTATATTCACTGTGTTTTCATTTGTGGATTGATATAGATGACCATAACAAGGAGGACAGAATAATAAGGGCAGCAAAAGTAATTTGCAGGAGACATTTATTTTAAATGGATGCAAAATATAGATCCAGTGATGTTACTGGGCAAGATGAAAAAGGGCACAACAGGCAAAAGTCAGGAAACAGTTCTTAAAGTATAAGTCAAAGAAAACCAACAATCATATTTCTAATGACAATCTTATGTTTCAAAAGCTACATTGTTCATATGTGTACATTTTTATGTGACTATAATGGAAAACAGCCATTGCATGCCAGAGTTTTAAGTGGCGTGTAGGCTAAAATTAGGTATCATAGAAATTTCTGTACAAAGAATAGATAGGCACAAAGAGGAGTTTACTTGTAACAACTGTTCTCAGTAGATACAGGCAGTCCCCGGGTTACGTACAAGATAGGGACTGTAGGTTTATTCTTAAGTTGAATCTGTATGTAAGTCGGAACTGGCGTCAGCCACTGCTGAAACTGATCAGTTTCAACCGCGGCTGAATCTGGACGCCAGTTCTGACTTACATACAAATTCAACTTAAGAAACCCAGGCGTCCCCAAGTCAGCTGCTGCTGAAACTGATCAGCAGCTGATTCCAGGAAGCCTGGGGCAGAGCAACTCTGCCTCGGGCTTCCTGTAGTCAGCCGCTGGTCAGTTTCAGCAGC